TGACCGCCAAGCTGCTAGTGGAAAGGACTGCGCCTAGGAAACATCAACGGCCGGGTCATCGGGCACCTTGCAACGTGTACATCTCGAAACTATGCCGAACAGGTGGAAAGCACGAACACAGACGCCAGCGGCCAGCCTACGTACTGACATCCCCTGTGACTAAATTTCAGAACGCGAAAGGGCACTTTTTAAACCTGTAGCAGACCATACCATTGATACACCCGTAGCAGACGAAATACCTCCCCTTGGCTATACACTCGGCGAGCGCGGGCGGCGCGGGCGACCAGCGGCGCAGCGGAGTGATACAAAGGTGCAGGCGAGATCGCGTGACCTATTACCGGCGTGTCATCAGCTCCGGCCACACGTAGCTTTGGCTGCGCACGGACGGAAGGTGAAACGAAGTATTGGGAAGGATATCGAATGGTGGCGCTGGCTAGCGGGCGCCGTCTGAACTATTCTGTGGGGATAACAATCCCGCCGCTGGTATTCGTTCAGCCATCGAGGACGAGGGCTTGAGGCTCGTGAAAGGTATGTGAATAATATTCATATGCTCGAAAAGCGACTGCGTAGAGGTAGCATAGTCCCTGCTTGTCTCATCTTGCTGCAAATGTTGCTGCGATTTTGTTGGAAGCAAAAACCAACCAACGTGTAGCGGCTCGCGATCGGCCGCGTCGCTGGGGCTGCGCGCGCCAGGTCGTGGGTGACTGACGCGGTGTGGCGATGTTTGTTCGCTTCCTAGGTTGAAGAAACCGTATTCACAAAACACACGCATTGCTTTTCAGGGTCCCTGTGTCTTGCAGCGATCATCAGCCACGTCGGCGAGAGCAAGAGGTACCTCGTTGAAGGCGAGGACGTACTGAAATGTGATCATGTAATCAAGTGCATCGTCGCCCCGGAGATATTTTCACTAAAACATCAACCAAAATACTCATTACATTACGTTTTCCTTGAAATGTCAAAATAGACGACACACTGGTGAACATTATAATGTAGAATGTGGCTAGTTAGACTGCATATTGGCATTAAACGTTACAAGTTGTCTTTTTCAGTTTAATTTATCGGTTATTCAAAGGTGCACGGTTCACGATGAAATATAAATGAGTTCTGCACGACGAGGGCCTAGGTATACAGATATTTGCATTGCTCGATCGAAACAATAGGAATCGCAAAATGATTCACGCAATTGCGTAAATATCACAATATCGTACTGATACTGCTACCTAATATGTTCCAGTGTAAACGCTAGCCTGGAATAAAATAGTGATCAAATGATAGCAGTATCTTTCGGTGGCTTCCGAAGCCTCACGACCCGGTCGTGTGGTCCCTTCAGAATATTCTACGACGGAACGGCGTTGCGTTTCAAGAACCTCCTTTTGTGCCCTGCTTTGAAATATGGTGGAGATATTTTGCCGGCAGGTCGGCACAACCACTCGGGAAAAAAAAATTGCCGCGAGTTTCGGACGGCAATGATTATTTAAATAAACAAATAAATAAAAATCTTGGCGATTTATATCACAAAATGTTCCGAAAAACGAAAAAAAAATTGGCATTTTTTTATGCAAGATTGGAACCCACGACACGTGAAGCGGACACCTTTCCACTCAGCTACTCACAAAATTTGAAAATCCCGTTTTGACTATTTCTTTTACACGAGACCCAATAAAAAAAACTACCGGCAATTTGTTTTTTTTTTTTTGCTCGGTTTTTGTGTTGGCCGAGTATCCACCCCCTGTGAAATACGATGTACGGTTTGAACGGATGTCGATGCAGGCGTGATTCACACACGTACATACATCGCCCATTAGCGTAGTTTGCATGGAAGGCATCGCTTGCGAAGTGACGACCATACACCACGTCGTGCGCAGTAAACTTCTTAACTAGTCTTAACTTATCCATTGCGATTTGAGTTTTTTTGTTTTTTCTTTTTTTTTTTTTGGGGGGGGGGGGGGGGAGGGGGGCAGGAAAGCGATGAAAACTGATTCCAAGCTCTAAAGCATGCGCTGAGCACTGCGGTATGCAACAAGAGCGTACCATACTCTAACAAACCTGCAGGAAACGTGAAAACAACACAGCAGCCAAAGGCCGGAAGGCCGGAGTTGTTTTCCACGCCGGCGGTATTTGTTTTGGTGAACGCAGCGCCCCCTATAGTTCAATCTCTCCATCATTAGGAATTTTTTTTTAATTTTTTTTTATTTTAGCTACGTTTTTTTGTTGTTACTTGATCGGGGCTTCTACTAGTCCAGCCATTGGGCTGTTTATTTATATTTCTCTCTCTCTCTCTCTTTCTATATCTATTTGTATTACTTTAGGAAGTGACGAATCCTGTTGGCAATAGCTTAGTTCGTTCTCAATATGTACCCGCGAAGAAGGTCACGTGCTCTTTCTGGAGTCATAAAATAGAAAATTTGACAAAAAGAGCATAAACATTTTTTTATTTCGTAATAAAAAGTTAAAAAAGAAATGTAGCGTGAAGAGTAAGTAATTATTATGTGGTGTTGTAATTGTAAGCAGTTACTTTTGTCAGTAACGCGTACAAAACTGCTAAAAACAGATTTGAAAAAAAAAAAAAAACGGACAAGAATACACACCGTCCGAAACGGTGTGTGCGCTTGTCCGTTCTTTTTATTTTATCTAATCCCATTCTATTTTTTTATCATGGACTAAGTTCACCAGCTAGTCATCGTTAATAAAAACTATGTTGCCACAACGTACGCATTACAAAGGAACAACTTAGACTTATTTTCACTCACACTCTAATTACAAAATGAGTGGCACTAGTAGCCCAAGTGCTGCATCTTGGCGTATTTCTTGCTGAAAACCACTCCTGAGCCCCCAGAGTTCAGATCCAGAATCCAAAGCAAACAATCAATTAGGAGTTTTGAAAATGAACCAAGCTCCCCTTTGAATGTCAGAAAAAGTATTTATTGCTTATATGTCGGAACCGTCCTTGAATATTCCTGTGCAATCTGGGATTCCTTTTTCGTCATGTGCTTAGCGAGGAAATTGAAAGAGCGCGAAACAAACTTGCGATATTTATTTATGTTATTTATGAGTAGGATGAACGTAAAAACAACATTGCATTGAACTGAAGGTCACTTTTGATGGTCCTGTAGGACCATCAAACATTACCTTCAGTTTAAGCCACTGTATTTTTTTACAACATGTTTTTTGTTAATACATATGCCTAACATAAACTTGAACAGAGCAAGCATAAACAAACGTAGATATTTGTACTCACCAGATTTTATATCACGAAGGTTGGATACCGCTCGCACTATTAAGGAATCCAACTGTAGAAGATGCTCTCAAATACCCTTCTTTTTCTACGTGTGGCTGAAGAATGAAATCGGCAACCGAGTAATATCGTTTCATTGCTTTCGAATGGCTCTCTCTCTCTCGTTTAAATCTTTGTTTTAATGCTCGTATATTTGTCTGTATATATTTGTGTACGTTTTTACGAATATTTTATGTGCACTTTTTATCTGTACCTTCCCCGCTTTCCTGCAAAAATGACCCTGGGGTGCTGTAATTTAAATTAATTAAGCGAATGAATAAATAAAGTAAATTCATTTTTTGAAACTGTTTCAGCTTCCTTTTAAGTTGATTCAAAAGAAGAACATACCGGACAAATGAAGTCGCATGAATAAAATTATTGTTGTCACGATTGGCTGGTGATGATGCGGACAATAACAGAGAAAAATAAACTTTAGCGATGTAGACCTGCACTTAAAACAAGCAAACTAGCAAAAGAGTTCCAATTTTGACGTGACAAGAGGTCGAACGAAAGCGGAAATGTGAGTGAATCCGACAGTCGACGGCTTCTCATATACACACGTTTTGTTCAAAAACATCGCAGACCAGAACACAGTTACTTGCTTGAATAGGAACGTTCGAACATAAAAAAAAGACCAACGGCTGATAGTTGAATACCGCGGTACTTTGGCGTAAGCATTCTTAAAGTTAGCTGAATTGTGTGTTTCTTTTCTTTCTTCTAGTTATTATTGTTGTCGTTTCAATATGGCACGATCATTTTCCATACCTTTAAAATATGTGTTAAGGTTTAGTCAGAAAGCGGCAACTCCTTCCGTTTATATTGATTCGAGCTTACCTAAATATTCATTTCGTAAAGAAAGCTAATATTCAAAGTTAATGCGAAGAAAAAAAAAATTAGCTTCCGTCCGAATAAATCGTAATCGGAAGGATACGGGCGTTCTAAATAGGGGCTCTCCCTTTACCAGAAAAGGGAATAACCGTCTTGGGAAGATCTGTTTTTCTGATTTTTTTTAATTTTTTTATTTTCTTTCGATGACAGAATCGGTTTCGCGTATCATTTCACAGAAAGGTCGAGGATTGTGTGCATTTCTTTGTTGCGGGAAATTGATCGTCCGAGGTCTTGAATCTTTGAATTCACGAGCCATCCTTTTGCTTCTTTTCTATCTCGCTTGGGGCCCGTCTAAAAATAAGCCCTTTTATCGGATCTGGCCCGAAGACCTCCACGCCGAGGCGACTAACCTCCCTCCCGAGCTTCTGCCTCGACGCGGATCTGGTGAAGCGAGCAGGCAGGGTCCGGACAGCGCCTCTTTTCGCCCTGGCGGTCACCAAAAGCAAAGAAAACAAACTCCCACACCGCAGCGCCGAGCGGACCCGTCGGGCCAATGGTAACGCCGTGCTAGCAGCGTGCCTAGATCTCAGAGTGTTTCCAACCACTCGATCGGGGGTCACGCGGTTTGCGAACCTCGTTTACGCCGTGCGAACCCCAAGGAGAAGGAGGCAAACGCGTCGTCGATCGTCTTCAAGCGTCTCCGGCGGCAGCTCACCTCTTCGCCTCGCAACAAAGTGCGCAGGCGCATGTGGGTCTGCGCGGAGGGGAGTCAGCCATCAAACAGCGAAAGCTCTCCGTGTCTTCAAAAAATGTTGCTCCCACTGTGGAATGCGGGTTCCCCCCGCGCGAGTTTCCGGAGGCGGAGCGCCGCGTGGCGGCCAAGTGGAGCCCCAGTCGGCCGGCCTGCGAGGAAAAGTTCGCAGGCGGGGTGCGGGAGGCGCGGGATGGATGCGGGCCTCCCCGGGCTGCTCCAAATAAGCGCCTTCTCCGAGTGTCGACGCACGTGCTCTTCCGGACTGTCTGGCCCGGGACGCCCGCACGGCTTCCGGACCCCGGAGACGCGCTTTATTTGCTCGCTTCGAGGGGCCGCCGCTGCTCCTGCTGCTTCTCCGGACTCGCATCGTTCGTCAGGTACGTCCTTTGGCCGTTACGACCGTGCCTGTCCTTTTTTGGGGAGCTGTCCGTCCGCCTTCGGGACCGTTTCGAGCTGTTAGATAAAGCCGCGATCTTTATTTTTAGCCGGCCGCGTAAACAGTCCCGTGGCTTAAACAAATACAAAGTAGTGCAACACGCGCTGCTTGTCGGGAAAAAAACAAAATAGGTTGAGGAAGGTTCGGTGGATTTTTTCGCTGGAAATCTTGTTTTATGGAAGCTCAATAAGGTATCTGCCTGTAGCCAGAAGCTGCGATAAGTCGCCATTGGTAACGTTGTTTCGCATTTACATTACTGAAATCTATCCCTCCTCTTCATTCTGATATGTTAAGCGACGTCTCCTGAACGACCCAGAGAGTATTTCGATAATTTGCGTTTTTTTAATATCACCAAAGAATACGCTGAATTCTTTGAATTCAGCGAATTCAAAGAATTCAGCAAGTTCAAATGAATTCATTCATTCATTTGAATGAATGACTCTTTTAAGGAACAATATAAGCGTGGACAAGGAGTGAGGAACTGAACCACCTATTTTACCGACTGTGTGTTCTCCCCATCCATTCATCTGTCGGATTTTTCTTTTTCTTTCCGAAATTAGTAAACTTAATATGAGATTAAAAAAAAGATCAACTTTTGCTGAATTATATACACGGAACATTTTAATATAATGCGAACAATAAGCAAAACATTGTGAGAAATGAAAGCTATGTGCTGGAAGAAAGTCAGTCTTGTTCAAGTGCATCTTCAGCTCAGACGTAACGCATTTCAGCTGCCTTCAGACGCCCCCTGCTATGCTGCCGCTCTACGTGTAATGTAGCAGAACCGCGTCTGCACTCTAACGATGGCGAAATAGGCTATAACTAGGGTTCCGTGTTTTCGGATAAATCGGAAAAACATCCGCCGGTAAAATTTCTGTCAATTCGGATTTACCCGATAAACTCCGAATTTGGATGTGCTCAATGCTCCCCTTCCCCCTTCCCCCTACAAAAAAAAAAAAAGAAAACATAAATAAAGACGGTATTTTACAATTAAGTTTCATCAACGCACAGGGTCAATTGTCTCGGGAAAATGCCACCACAGTTACCTTTTCAAATCTCGGGTCATTGACCCAGAAATGGTCTTACCGCTTATCACGTCAAGGTCCAGGACGACCTGCCATTGTATTTTCGGGTCACGACAAAAACCTCTGTATGGGGTTCCAGTTTAGGCCATACTATTTTTGCTTTAAGAGGAAGGAGAAGTGTTTTTGTAACAGTGAAAGCTACAGACCATATTGCATAGAATTGTAAAGAGGGGCAGTTGAAACTTCCTTATTTCATCCTTTATCACTCCACCTCTCGCGGTCGCGGGGTAGCATGGAATAGTATGGGATGAATACGTGCTTCCCAGCGGCTGCCTCCAGGAGTTCATTTCTAAGGTATAGACGTTTATCGAAGCCACACATGTATGCAACGTTTGCCGTTGGGCAAATTAGTATTGGCAATGGCAATGGCAGCAGCACCAAATCCAATTGAAGAAATATTAATTGATATAAGCGCGTTTTATTTTTCTTTATCTAACATATGCTTACACCCGGATATTATTTATTTATTTTTGATGTGAAACACTGCAAAATTAGGCTTTTAAGTTTGAAGATTTTGGAATCAAACATAAATTAACCCCTTAAAACACCGAACTTGCCAAAAAAAAAAAAAAACTTTGAAGAACACCCATTGAATTTGACAGAAATGAGTACCAAAAACACGGAATCCTAGCTATAACACACCCACCCAATTTGCTCGCCTGTTAGCCTCATATGTTGCCATAAAAAGAAACCTTCCCATTCCTGAAAAAAAAAATTCCGAATCCGTACACAACACCCGCAGGCTTGCATTTGAAACATCGTCAATAAACGTAGGTATGAAAGTGCTTTCCTTCATACTATTTCTTTCTGTAGACAAGTGGCGCCATAGGTCATCCAGATGTTTAAATAAATTAGGCAGCTAACGGACAAAAATATACAGAAAACACGCTTGCCTCTTTTGACTCAGCTATAAAATAGTCGTGGATGAGGCACATTTAATTGCACACTGTAAAAGGTTTACTGTTGAACCTTGCGTGATTGAAAGTTGTAAATAACTTGAGAGCAATAGATATCTATCTGCCTTCGCGGACGTGCAACGACATCAGGTGCAGAAAAGCTTGCCACCGAGGCGTGACAGCGCAACAACGAAGATGAAGCGGTTTATACTTTCTGAGATTCCAGTAAGAACAAACAACACTCATAGAGAACCCTTTCTGGCTAGACATATCGCTGTTTATGCGATAAAAACTAGATGTCTAAACATAACGAAGAATAGAGATAACACTTTATGGGCATTTTACAAAAAGTAAGAAGCAGGAGGAGTCACCTTAAAAAAAGAGTAATGACTTGGGTGTCATGTTTAATAATATGTCAATAAAACAAATTTCCTGAGTCGTTTTATTTGTGCACGGATATGTAGGGATGGAATATTATGGTAGTGCGTGGCAAACAAGTCAAAACTTTATCAATTTACTTTTACTTCCTGCATAAATGAGCAAACTCGTAACAATTTTATTCTTTCTGGGCAATCGAGGACTTTCACCCCAATATAGAAACTTTGCCTTCCGTCTTTCATTCCGTGTGAGTGGCCTATTGAAAACAACACAAAGATATAATTGTATAATTTATTTAATAAGTATACCAAAAGTCATCATATTATGTAAAGCATTTGTAAGTTTTTATACCATCCTCTATGTTTTTACGCGCTTATTGGACGGATTTCTATAATTGAGTTTCTATGGTTGTTCGACAAAAGTCGAAAACGCATATTTTCTAAAATTGGAACAACAAAACAAGACTGCATTTAGGGCTTCGTCAAATGTATCGTCCAGTTTGTGGCATTTTCTTGTGCCATATTACTATTATGAAGTGACAAAAAAATGACACCGTGCGTTGCGCGCGACAAGTTAGGAATTTCTCACTTGGACAAATGTTCTGGAAACGCCCGCAGAGACCGACGCATGCCAATCCAGCCCAATCCCGCAAAGGAGCACGAAAGGGCACCACAAGTGGGTCGATGAAGGTCGAGGGCAATAAGTTAGCCGAAAAACCACCGCCGAACTATTTTTGCTTTTCCCCTCCTTCCAAGGAGGAACCCCAATAAAGGGGTCCCCCCGATAGGCTTCATCAGCTGTTTGCCACCTGTGCTGTCCGAAATAAAGTAGGCTAGCCATTACACCCCGTTCTTACAGGGTTGAACACTGTTTTTATGTGCGCCAATTTTTTCCTCTTCTTTTTTTTTTTCAGTAAGAAAATTCATCAATGTTGACAAAATTCCAGCTGCTCGGAGTCCAAAATTGTTTGCTCATAAAACAGCAATCCAAGCCTTTGTACTTCATAAACCAGTGCCTCTCGCACGCTTCCCTTTTTATAGCGTTTCGCGCTAAATGATGAAAAGCAATATAGCGTCTCTGATATTTTTATTGTACTTTCGAGAAAGGAAAAGCTTCCTGTCCAATTCGGAAGTACATTCGTCCTTCCTAAGTGATCCTGTGAGCAATAACATCCGGCCACTTAGTTGAGTAACTTTGGGCAATCACAGTCTGCCTCATACCGCTGGAAAGACTGTCCCCCATTTCTAACCAAACATGGAGACAGCTAATCTGTCCTCTCGAGGAACACGTCGTCGGTAGGAGACTGATGATTCGATCTACCGGGGAACAGGTGAGAAGGCTCCTGGCTTGTTGTCTGCAGTAGCAGAAATGTGACCGGCGTGCTTTAGAGCTTAGTGATCAGCAGCAACAGAAATGGGTTCGAATCGATTAGAATTAGAGGTTGTTTGTTCAGGCAGAGGACAGGGCTCGGTCGACGTCTGTTGCTCACCAGTGAGAACTGGTGACGATGGCGTCTTTTATTCAGTAGCCGGACGACCGGAAGGAGGGGATGCTTTCTGCTCACAGAGAAATCGAAGTGAGGGTAGAGTGGATGATTCTTTTGCAAAAGCAGTGTCAGTGCTATCGGGGATTTTCAGACTAGGTCTCGCGGGGCAGCATTCGTGCAATTCCGCGAAATCGCCATCCATACGATATTTGGACATTTTCTGTAGCTTCTTACGATTTTTTTATTTCGAACTCTGTCTTCTCTCTAGAGCCGCCGCTTTCGTGATTCTGACCGCACACTTTAAAGTGGAATTTCAAAATCGCATAAATATCTTCGTACTATGCGATCTTTTAGAGACACCTATACATGGAAATTTTAGCGAGACAGTTGTGTTTATTGGTGGCTCAGACTTCTTTCTTTACACATGAAGTCTTCCAAAGCTGAAGGAGTAAGCTCAACTAATAGAAAGTGCAATACACTAAGCCTATACGTCACATTGTTGTCGGTGTGTGTGTGAGCACGCTTTCAACCCAGTCGATGCAGTCAGGAGCCATTGGATAAAGATCCCTGTGAGTTTATTGATTCTATCATATCAGTCAGAACATTCCATGGGGCAATAGGATCTTGAGAATTGTTGCCGTATATGTGTCGGGAGGAGAAGAGTGCCTTAAAGTCTTTCTCTAAGTTAGGTACTCTTTACTGAAAAAAAAAACAAAAAAACTTCTACGTTTACTGTGAATGAGAGCTCCATTTGCTTTTTTTAAGAATTGGGGTGTACTTTCGTGTAGTGGTAAAAAGCGAAAATATTTAATTCACATCTGTTTCTAGCTAAAAAAAAAAGAGAAGAAAAATTGAATTAGGTAATTATGCGGCAAATAGAGGATGGACACGCGCTACTGTGCCAAAAGGCGATACAGCAAGAGAACATTTTAGAGCCTCATAAGCAGCGCCACTATCTAAGGAAAAATAAGTCTCAAAAGACCGGTGTAGTGACACTAAATAAGCTACGCTTCAGAGTAACGACACTTGACCATATTATGGCTTAAAATCAAGGTTGCCAGTTATCTGAAGCTTTATCTGAAATCACAGGAAACGT